TCGAATGGAGACAGTGTCTCAGGAAAGAAAAGAAGGGTCCATTCGGGAGTCACCTGTAAGAGCAAACTAGGACAGCCCAGGGCGGCTGGGTGTGGGGACAAGGCAAAAGGCAGTCAGGGAGCTTATCAGCTGGAGAGCCTGGTGGGGGCGAGAGTTGCCAGCGTGAGGGGGTGGGGGCGAGGGTTACCCAGCGTGAGGAGGACCGGAGGAAGGACAGAGGCGGGAGGGGGAGGGTCGGAGCCCAGGGAGGCGGGTTCAGTCGGGGTGTCTGTGGACGTCTGGGGGAGGTGCCCAGGGCCATCGGTTGCCCACTGCACTTACAGCATGCTCGGACGCCACAGATCTTCAATGTGTGATTTCTCTTCAGCTTTTAAGAGGCTTTGGTTTCGGGGTTCCTGTCTAATGACTGCACAGCTCTCTACCTCATTCTGCCAAAGAGGGGACATAGCAGGATCAAGATTTGAAGCCGTTGGGAACACAGAAACTACGTTCGAACGCATCGATCTCTACGGACATGCGCCGGCTCTGGGCTGGCTGGTGCAGGGAGTGCCACTCACACCTCTGGCCGGGCCTCCTCCCGCTGGAGGGCGGCCAGCTCCCCCTCTGGCCGACAGCACAACCTCAGGGAACCCTCAGAGTACAGGCTGATCGAAATACGTGCTCAGAACATACCATTTCTTAAGTACCCTTGAGACACAGATAAAACAGAGAGAATCCAATAGGAAAATGTTTGCTGTTTTTCCCCTAAAACATCCAAGCTGTCCGGTACAGCTACGAGCTGGACAGCTGTGCCATCTGCCATGCAATACTGCCCAGTAGGTGTCTAATGTGCTAGACGATGACGTAAATCAGGGGTCACCCATCACCCACTTCCTGGATCTCTGAACTGCTGTGGGCCTGGAGAGACCCCTTCACCAGGGACACAGAGGTATCTAAACGAAGCTCATTCATTTAATGAAGGCGTTTCACCACCGACTCAGGGTCCGGTCTGCACCAAACTCCACTCCACGGCATTCCCCCCACCGCGCAGCGAGAGCAGAGCCCGCAGACCGCACACACGACGCACGCCGCGGTCACCTTCAGGAGTCCTCGGTGGAAGAAAGTCAGTCCTTTGTACAGCATGGCGATGGGCTGGTTCCTGTTCAGCGCCAGGGACTGCTGGAAGTCCTCGTGGGCCGTGGCGTAGTCCTGCGGGAGGGCGAGCGGGAAGAATGAGGCAGCATTCGCTAGACACCTGGACGTTTCCTACCTCTGACCGGAAGAGAAAAATCCCCATCTGTTCTCTGTCCTTTCAGCCTCAGGGGAAACATTTCGTGACCATAAGTAACTCGAATGCTTAGACTGTTAAAATAGTGGATTTTCTTAGGAAATAGATGGGAAGACCGACAAATATAAGGATACTGTTTCAACTATTAAAAGAATATTACTATTTTAAGTAATATTAAAGTCATAACCTGTTAGAGGAACTTTAAAAAATTTTCTGGTACTCACAGGTTATTGTATTAAATACTTCTAAAACAATTATGCTATAAATCGACCTTCACATGTACTATGCTGAGATTTAAAAAATATCTATTTTTTGCATTAAAAATTATTATAAAAATTACATAAACCCCAAAAAAAGATAACTGGGGCCATCAGAAATGCCACTGTGATGATAAAA